AATATGTAGATCGTAGCCAACTTTTTCTTCTATCAGACGCAGAGTCTCTGATTTGATATCAAGCTCTTTGATCCATTTTGAGTTAACTTTTGTGCGCATGGCGAGAGAAAGGGATTCAGTTTCATTTTGTTGCATATGGATTTCCAGTTTTCCAAACAAAGTCAATAGAGTAGGTGGAGAGGTAGGTAGGTGGACTTATTATGAGGATTGTATCATATGATTATGGAGGCCAAGGAAACCCATGTTCAGCCCTCTGCAAGTTAGAGACCCAGGGAAGCTGGTGGTGTGTTTTTTAGTTTGAGTCCAAAGGCCTAAGAACCAGAGGAGTTGGTGGTACAAATCCCAGCCCAGAGGGGCAAGAAAAGATGAGATGACCCAGCCCAGGCAGGCAGCTAGGTGAGAATTAATCCTTTATTTCTCTGCCTTTTGTTCTATCCAGGCCCTCAATAGCTTGGACCATGCCTGCCCACACAGAAGAGGGCCATCCACTTTACTACGTCCACCAATTGAAATACCAGTCTCATCTGGAAATTCTCTCACAGATGCATCTAGAAACAATGTTGAATCTGAGTACCTATGGCCCACTGAGATGAAACATGAAATGACCTGTCCTAAGGAGTTAAGGATTTTAGGACTCTACCAATCACTGTGATGCCTTGTGCACATGCTTTGCATTAGATGTTTCCATTACTCATGTTACCTTTAGTTTGCAATAATAACAACCAGTTGTTATAATCCCTATTTTACAGTAAGGGATTAGAGGTTCAGAGTCATTAACCCAGTTACTCAGTACCACAGAGCAAAAGGCAGCCCATGGTCAAACTAGGGGTCTGTTTCAATTTTAAGACAAGATCATGCTGTTGTTGAGCCTAGCCTCAAATGTGTAATCCTCCTTCCTCAGCCTTTTGATTCTCTGTGATTGTGTGTGCCATAATGCAGTTTCTTTTTCTTTTAGCTAAATACACCTAGGGTGTTGACCTGAAGTACCACGTTTGGGAGTTAGGGGATGCTTATGAATAGGAATGCTGTGAATCAAGGCTTTTTTATTTTCCAGTCATGTGGACCATATTTCAACCATTGTGCAAAAACTTCTTCACTCAGCACTTTTTAACCATTGCTACCTTTGCCATACCAAGAATGTGACCATTCTAATTATACTTGAGGCTGTCGCAAGTAGTATAACACATAACAGTCAATCTTGTAATTAGACGTTTGAGCATTAAATTGATTTAAAGCCTTATTTCACATTTCACAAGGGAAATTCTGTCACACACTTAGATCAGGCAGAGAAATCAAATACTGAACCAATAGTATTGGGACACATCCTAATCCTCATACTGGTTCTGGAGAAGAAGACACACAGTTGCATGGTGGGCACTGGTATCACCAGGGCACCATGAATTATAGGTTCTGGTATGATAGGCATTCCACGGAGTTGGTACTGGGGCATCCCGCAAGTGAGTTGGACATAGGGATCATGAAAGATCCTTTAATGAGAAATGCTTAACTTGTGAGGACAGTGCTATGATTATAAATCAATGAAGCAAAACACAGTTCAACATTAATGAATATGAAGCCTGGTGCCAGGTTGTCAACTCCTGCTTCATCTAGGTGAGTTTGTGTGGATTACTTTGTTCCTCTAGGCCTTACTGTGGTCCTCTGCAAATAGGCATGATAACAATACCTACCATATGGGCACATTAGGAAGACTGGGTAAGTTAGTATTTGTAAAGCATATAACACTGATGCCTGACACAGAAGTATCACTTCAGTGTCTGTTAAAAATATTAAAAAACATATTTGATGAATCGTCCTGTTAATGCTTGATAAAATTAGATATGAATCACATGATTAAGATTGTCCATAATTTTCTCTCTGATCTCAGTTACTAAAGTAGTTATTATTGCTAGAATGATATGCTACTTCAAAATAAAATAGCCTTAATATATTTGTGGCTATTTGCATATTCTATAGTCTTTAAAAAGAAGAAAAATAAAATCTCTATACCAGTTGTAGAGATGCACATGTAAAAGTATATACATGTCTTTTTACTGTATTATTTGTAATAGAGAAAAATTATGGAAAAATTAGATTTCTATTAGTGGAAGATGGGATATATTATGGTATAATCATTTAAAATAAATGAATTAGCTCTACATGAAACAACAGGGACATATTTCTAGAACAATTTCAGGTACAAAGAAACCTTGAAAAATACATAATATGTACAGGAAACTTTCATGTAAAGTTTTTAAACACACCAAAGGAAGTTATATGTTACTTTGGATACATACATATGTAGAAAATGTGTCACAAAAGCAGGAACATAACGGATGCACTACAATATCAAAATGGTGATTTGAGGAATAAAGGACTGAAATGGAATCTGGCAGGGTGTGGGTGGTCAATTTCATCTGTAATATTTTCTTTCTAAAATAAAAAAAAATAAAACACTACAAGATGTTACCATTTATTGAATCAAACTGGAGGGTAAATTATTACTTTATTCTCCATTCTTCTTATTTACATTGAATCATTTCTAATAAAAATAATAAATAATGCATTTAAAATGTCAAATCATAACTGAAGTTTCCACTTATGAATTTTACTACTTTCTCCAGTAACAAAAAGCTGAGGATTTCAAAACATTAGCATATCACCAGTTATGCTGGTATTTCCTATGGATGGTCCTACTTTATGATGTTTGGAGAGGATTTTAGCACAGCGACTCTAAGGGGACTCTATGGAATGCATTTTCAGTATTCTGGAAAGAGTTTTAATGATCTGTTGTACATCAGTGTTAATGGGAGTCTGTTAAATAAATCTTCAATCAGTCCCCGAACGTGTGTGTGTGTGTGTGTGTGTGTGTGTGTGTTGGGGGTACTGTTGATTGAATACAGCAGCACTCTATCACTGAGCTACATCCTTCGACCTTTTTTATTTTTATTTTTTATTTTGAGGCAGTATCTCACCAAGTCTCTAGGGCTGGTTTTGAACCTGTGATCTACTACTGCGTCACCTTCCTGAGTAGATGGGAACAGGTGTATGCCACTGCACCCAGCTCCCAAGAAGTCCTTTTAAAAGGGTTGCAATTTTGTTAAAACAAATTTTTTAAAGCACTCACCTTCCTTGCTAATTCTGCTAAGCAAGTGCATTGCATGTTTCTGGGCTTCAAATGAAACAATATGGAAGCATATGATGTTCTGCTTTGTAGCTTTTTTTTTTAAAGCGTATCAGCCAGGCAACTAATTATTCCATTGAATCCATGTGATGAATTATTCTTTGGATATGTAATTGATTGGTGAACAAACAATACCATTGTAACCCATTTTTTTTCAGTGTATCAAGATGTGTCTGATGTGCTGTGAATTAGGCAATTCTCTGCTATTGTATAAATTAACTGGAACAATGACTTGTGACTTTAGAGGTTGAATATGCCACTGACCATTTCATGTCCTATATATAATGTGTTATGTGTAAAATATTCACCAAATTAATTTTGTCAGATGTTGTCTACATTTTAACTAGCAAACAGTTTCATTGGCTAGAACACAAATGTTAAGTACCTCAATTTTAATGTAATTTAACATTGCTGAAGTTGTTAAACATGACATATATTCATACATTCTATATTATTTATTGACTACTCGTCATGCACTGTTGGGTCCTAGAGATAAAGTAGGGACCAACATAACGCTGTTCTCTTCAAATTGTTAATAACCTAATGCATAAGAGAGAGAAGAAAAACAAGTAATTATAACAGATAAATTCTATAGGTGTGATCAACAAAGGGTATTAATGGGGTACAGAGCAGGGAATCCCAACCCAGACTATGGTAGTAAAATTATTAAGGAAAGCTTGGGAATATGTGCATGCTGATCCTCTATTTGGAAACTGAGAGAGCAATAGTCCAAGAAAAGGAAATAACACCCGGAAAGGCCCAGAGACAAGAGAAAGTACATTTAGGGCCAAATGTTAGGTTGTTTCTTTAGCTTCAAGAGTCTCCACTACTTCGTTATTTCTTTGGAATTTCTAGCCCAAGCCACTTTAAGAATGGCCATTAGACATCAACCATCTGTAAGTCCCAGAATGATCATAGCCACCACTCAAGATTAACTGAATTTCTGAGGCATTGGGATTTTTAAAAAAATCTTCCCAGATGATGTTACTATGCTTTCGCGTTGAGAATCACTGATTTACAAAATAAAGCCTGATGTATGTGTTGATTATGAATGTTTAGGCAAGCAAGGGGGACAGAAGTGCAGTTCAAGGGCATGGACAAAACAAGATGGCTGTAAAGAAATGACCTTGGGAGTGTAAAGTGCAAAGCCATGAGAAGAGTGACTCATTCCAGAACTCATCTTGACGGATTCAGATAGATAGCACTTAATACTTTTTCAATTCCTTTACTCAATCATTTCAAAATACTTCACCAACCCTCACTATAGGCCAGTATGTTGGGTGCTGTGTATACAGATATGAGTAAGACAACTCCCTCCCTCTCCCCATCTCCCATACATCATTAGAGTGCAAATGTTCAAAGCTGAAGAAACACTCAGGATGGCATCTCAGAGTCTTACCCTAGACCTATTGCCATATAACAAGCCATTTTACCATTAGGCTGCATTCTTTTCTTTGGTATTTTACCAAAATCCTGTAATTTACAATGATTTGGAATTTATATTTTTATGCAGTCTCTCTGGTATAATTTTCCTTTTATTTTAATGTGATATAATCCTTTATATCTTCACTGGAAAAGTTTTTGCATGATGATATAATAACCTGCTAATCTTACTCTAACATAGAAGCTAATTTAAAGAGCCAAAATCTTCCATTTGCTAAGTAAATGTATGTGCATCTTTGATACATTGATTCTTTTGTTTAGATATTTGGTAAGTTTATGGGAACAATATATAATGCTACGATATTTTAGCACTCTAAATATACAGTTTACTATGTGTCAAGAACCTAACCCATTTTTATTTCCCTTTCTAACACAGGTGAAGAAAACCTCCTGGCAATTTTACGACGAAGATGGTGGAAGTATATGATCCTGGGACTGATAGACCTGGAAGCCAATTACCTGGTGGTCAAGGCTTACCAGTACACGACCCTGACCAGCATCCAGGTACCAGTGGCTCTTCTTTTCTCAATTTCCCCTTATAGTTTACATTCAGTTTAATATCTTGGAAATCTGAATACTCTCCTATAAATTTTCCAATAGAAGGAGGATTGGTTGTATAGAAATTAACTTGAGCTTCATTCATGTGTCATTAATTTTTCTTAATTCAAATATCAAGAACTTTTCCTCTTTGTTCTGAATCATCACAATAATCATTGGCAACATAGGAAAATAATTTGTGGCTTTGAATGCTGCCAACTAATCTTGTGTCAGCAGGAGAATTATTAGTAAGTATAAAAATAAATCTATTTTTATCACAACCTAACTTTTTAGAATGTTAATAGACTCTGATTAAATAACCAAGCTGCTTAATAATCTTTTCTTTTAGCTTGTTTCAGTATGTAGAATTTGTAATCTGAAAGTACATGATTTTTCCTAAAGGGATAAGGATAAAATTCCTAAAATGGCATGAAGATAGTTACTGTGTTTCTTTCCCTTTCTCCCTTCCTCTCTTTCTTTCCCTTTCTCATACACACACACAGACACACACACACATGAATGCAAATTTAACCTAGTTTTTCACAATTGTCAGACATTTATATTCCTTATTACATTGTAAATGATAAGTTTGACTACTTGTTTCAATCTTGTTTTTCTTCATATAACAATATTATGAATCTCATAGCAATTACAAAACTCCAGGAAAAACATAAAACATATTCAAATATTAGATTTGGCTTAGATTTGATACTTCAACAAAAATTTTTGCCATCCTATTAATTGCCTAGGAACAACAAAATATAGATAAACAAATAGGCAAACAAAGCACCTGAATAAATTTAGATCATATAGATTGGATGAGAAGTAATCTTGATTTCACTTTCCTACCACCTGATTTATAAGTGAGCTTCAAAGATGATGTCTTACTCCATTTTTGCTGCTATCACAAAACACTTGAGACTGGGTAACTTATAATAAATAGAAATCTATTGACCCACAGTTATGGAAGCTAAAACTTAACTTTCCCACCATCTGATTTCCAAATGAACTTCAAAGCTGATGACTCAGTTTGGTTTTGTTGCTATAACAAAATATTTGAAACTATATAATTTATAATGAACAGAAACTCATTGGCTTGCAGTTCTGGAGGCTGGGAAATTCAATATGAAGTGTTCAGCATCTTATGAAGGCCTTCAGCTGCATCATCCCTTGGTGGAAAGTAGAAGAGCAAGAGAGAGAATGAGGGAGCAAACCAATCCCACCCATAGGATGTAGTGCTCATGGCCTAGTCCCCTCTTAAATGCCTTGCCTCTTAATACTCCTGCAATGGCAAATAAATATCAATGAGTTTTGGAGGATACAAACATTCAAACCATAGCAGATGGTTTGAAAAACAAATAGTTATGGTGACATTTTTTCCAGGACCATTTCTTTATGCAATTTGTATTCTGAGAGCATTTGTGGGATGAGTTTCTAGTGAAGATGCACACTGAAGCAAGAAGTGAACTAACTGGTAAGGAAACCTGACCTTCCCCCTCTATTTAGTCCTTAACATTTTGCAGCTTTTGGACTGATATTGGAAGGTATGAGGCAATAATATCCAGATGCACTGTGAGGGCCCAGAAATACTGCATTCTGGCATTTGGCACTGCCCTTTTTGTTCTTTTTTCCCTCCCTTTCTTTCTTTGTGTGAAATCAATCTCTCTCTCTCTCTCTCTCTCTCTCTCTCTCTCTCTCTCTCTCTCCCTCTCATCTTGTTTTTCTTGAATTTTAAAGGTCCTACTCAACTGAAGTTGAATTTCTTATTTCTACTTTTTTCTTTTTCATCTTTTCCCCTATAGGAAAGAAAGTCCTAAAAAGCCAAATTAAAATAAATAAATATATATATAAATACACACACAAACATATATGTGTGTGTATATGTGTGTGTGTGTGTGTGTGTATATATATATATATATATATATATATATATATATATATATATATATAATATTTCCTTTGGTTATAAAACATTTGGACATGTTCACATCCTCTCTTCCCTGTATGCCAACACTGCTTTGGGTATGATCTTAGACATCTTGAAATCAAGGACCATGTTTTTAGAGAATAATTTATAATTCTTCCTAGTACAGCATCATGCATAAATTTGCATTTAGACATAAATACATCAAATATAAATATGGTTAACCTCATCATAGGAGTGCTCTCTCTCTATTTTTTTTCTCTTTTAGATCTCACTGAATTCTAAGAAAACACATGCATAATGTAGTTGCAGATTCCAAAGGGAGAATAATTAGGCTCATACCTCTTCTTTAACAGTGGTAGTTATGGTGTCCCATATTTATGTCTCCATATAATAAAGCTTTAAAATGGAAAAATATATGTAATTTTTAGCTATGTCATAATTATAATAACAATTTACATATTGTATATAAATGAAATGGGTTTTCATTCATTGGTAAAGTTACCACAAATTTAATTTTAAAAACATTTTATGTGTTTTCAATGTTAGATGTACTGAAAAAAAAATCATGCAGACAAAAATATTGATATGTGTCAACATCAGTTATCTAGTACAATTAGCCATCTAAAGTTGCCACTAGAAAGAGTTTTGGGCTTTCTTTTACTACCTCTCCTTTCCTTTGTCTTATTCTTCAGTTAGAAACAAGATATAAGAATAGGCTACCTCCCACTACAGATGCTCTATAAATACACTAAAACCTGTGATCAAGTTTTTTCTGTTACTTGGAATATCCATCTCTCCTCCATGTCCTACCCATTGAAATCCTATTCATTTCAGGGCCCTGTGTACCATGCAGGATGCTTTCTCATAAATAAAAGAAAACCCAATCAAAAGTATCTTTAAAAATAAGAAAATATATTGATTCTTCTAACTGGAGCATGTAAAGAAAGAGCATTATTCAGGGTAGTTGATCAGATGTTTTAATGATGTCATCAGATGCTCAGTTTCTTTCCATCTTCCCCTCTTCTTTCCCTTTCTCTGGCTTTGTCCTAAAACAGGATCTTTTCATGGCCATTAGACAGCTGCCAGCATAAATTGGGGCTATCTGCTTCTTCCTTCATGACCACAGAGAGAGAAAAAAATGTGTTTGCCTACAACCAATAAATATAAATCCAGAGCTCTGCTCTGATTGGACCACACTAATGGCCAGGATATTTCTGTGAGCTAATTGACTTAAACCTGGACTCCCTGAAACCAATACAGGATGAGATTCCTCTTATTAACTGAGACAAATATTTCCTAATAGGAGTCCTACTAAAATTTTCTATAGAAAAAAATCCCAATCCCAGAGTCAGAATGGGATCAATTAGCTTTTCATCCTCTGTGACCAAAACACCTGACAAAGAGCAACTTAGTGGTGGAACAATTTATTTAAATTTCAGATGTTAAGTCCATGGTTGGCTCACTCCATTGCCGTGGGCCCAAGGAGGCAGAACATTATGGTGGAAAGGCATGATGGAGGAACACTGCTTACCTCATAGCTCAGGGAAGCAGAGAGGGAAGCCAGGAAAGGGTCACAGAGAAGATGAACCCTTCCCAGGACATGCCCCCATCACCCACTTCCTCCAGCCATGCCCCAGTTGCCTGCAGTTACCACCCAGTCCATTCAAACTAGGATGGACGTATTAGGTTACAGCTCTTACAATCCAATCATTTTACCTCTGGATATTCCTGCATTAACACAGTTTTGAGGGGACACCTCATATCCAGACCATGACTCCAGCCAGTCATCTATTTGTCACCAACTGAGGAAATAGAGTGAAGTGGATAGATACGGGAGGACCAACCACAATGTCCCCACATCCAGATTAACTCCCACCTCACTTCCAAAAGCCCCATAATAAGAAGAAGTTTCTGTCTTTTCTGTTCCCTCATAAGGTTTTGTTTTTGAGATCTATTTCTAGTCCCTTACCTAAGAATGATGCTCGCACATTTCCATCTGCTCCACAAACTGTGAGCTCTTTCACAACAAGTATAATTTCTTGTTCACCTCTGAGTCTCTAGTACCCAGTAGAAAACCCAGCACATACTAGATTATAAATGTGTAAGAGGTTAATTAAATTGCATTAAGTTCTAGCATTTTGGGGCACAGAAATTCCCATCAGTCTTCTACCTAAATTTAGACACTCCTAGAATATATATGCAGGTATAGATATACAAGAAGAGTGGAATTTAGCTTCATTGTGGAACTTGGCCCATTAGCCTAGAATCAAAAATTAGAAATGGACCTAGGGGAAAATGAGGGGTGATTTCCCAATTTGGAAATATATTTGATATCTCTTTTTCTTTTATCTCCTTTCTTTCCTCTTTTTCTTTTCTTGTTCTCTATTGAAAAATCACAACCAATTGTTGGTCTCTTAAGTTTTATGGTTTTCATCAAAATTTATTTTCAAGTTTTTCTATGTGTGGGAACTGTGACAAATTATTTCTGGCATAGGTTCCTTGGGCCTCACTTGAGTATTTAACTCAATTCACATTGTCTACTACCACTAATCCTAATGCCTTTCTTCCTTTTGCATGTGCCTGTCTATGGCTCATACATGTGCTCATGTGTGCTGGGGATTGATTTTAGGGCCTTGTGTATGCTACCTATGTGCTATACTACTAGTGACATCCCCAGTCCTTTTCATTTTTATCTTTTACTTTTGAGACAATATCTCCCAGACTTTTGAGACAGTATCTCCCAGACAGTATTTCCCAGTATCTGCCCAGACTGGCCTCCGACTTGCAGTCTTCCAGCCTCAGCTTCCTAAGTAGCTGCAATTACAGGTGTACATCATCACATCTGGCTCAACCTGCTACCCTTCTTAAATTAGCTTTAAAACACCCTGTTGAATATCTTATTCTAGAAAAAAAAAAGTTTATTTTAATTCTGTAGTAAAACAGAAAAACTAAAATTCTAATGATATAGAATTGGTTCTTCGTTGTAATTCCCGACCAAGGAAAAAGAGAAAGTAAATAGGCAAGTTGAATCTAACAATTATAGAACCATTTTGCCACTTATAATAAATAAATCTTTAACCTGGTAATAAATGGTCAGGACAGAGGGCAT